CATATGTTTTTCCATGACCTTTCTCTTTTATCTTTTATGTATATTTGTCGAAATAGTTTTTTTCTTATATTTAGTAACACACGATCTGTGATACAAAATGAACTTCATGTCAAAGAGAACCTGTGACTGGGGATGGGAATATTTCAAATTAGAAGGCATCGATTATGAAGCAAAATGCTGCATTTGTAATAAAATTTATCAAGCTTATAGTACAAAAAATTTTAGAATCATAATAATGGTTCAACATAATAAAGTTTATCAAAGTGATGCCGGAAGAGAAGCTAATTGGGAACAGCAATTTTGTATAATACAAAATAATATTAATAAATGTAAACTTTGTGATAGCATTATATACACGGGGACAGGAATGCCTTAACATAAATTTGTGCATAGATGCATTTCTTATAATATGTCCCAATATGTTAAATTTCTGATGGGTACTTTAAATTGTGTTAAATTTTTGTCCCCATGTGTACATATTAATAATAAGTACATAAAATTCAGATTGGTTTAGCATTTGTTTATTAATTTTTGCGGTATACAGATATAACATATAAAATCTATTAGTGTTCTTTCAAAAAATACAGTAATCACGAATTTAACATAAGAATACAATTATTCTTAGTTAGCCTTATCATATATGTATAAAGATATTGTACATATTTTTCTTTAAAGAAAAATTTACCTATATACGTATATTATTTATAATAAATTTTTGTAATAATTTTTTAAAAGAAAAAAGTCAACACATTTTATGTTGACGCCTGCAATACATTTTTACCTTTCTTTATTTTTTTCATTCATATAATCAAAGTTATAGAACCTTATTATAACGAGAAATGGCAAGCTAGGATGTTAAAAAAAAAAATTAATTAAGATATAAAAATATTTCGATATAGCTTAACACAAAACAAAAAAATAATTGGAAACAGCTTAAGAACAATCAACAAAATAATGCGCTGCATTGTCTCATCAGCAAATCAACTCATCTTATTGTTAGTGAGAATATCTCCTTGCGCATCTTCTTGGCTCTTCGTCTTTTTGCGTAGAGCGCGTCCCCTTATATTAAGCATCGTTTTCGTTACTAACCATACTGCGCCCGTCTCACACGTGAAACGTAGCGTGTTTATAACTCCGATAATTAGAGAATGTGGCGGATATCCGGTCGTGCGCGATTCAATGCCGACCGTTCTTAATGTCGCCTCTACAAATTTTTCCGGCGTAGGCGCCATCCAAGTTGGTCTCCTGGGGAGAAGAAAAAATATGAAAAATATATATTGGATATCACGAGAATCAAATGCAAAATAAAATTCTCTCTACGAATCACTAAAAGAATGATTTTTACTTGATCTTTGACATCTTCGTGGCTACTGGACCAGGAAGAATGCACTGGACTGTAACGCCTCTCGGTGCTGCTTCTGTAGCTAAGTCGGCGCTGAGTTTATCAATGTATGCTTTGCTGGCGGCATAGACAGCTAGATAAGGGCTCGGTATAGCCGCGGCCGTCGAACTGACATTGATAAGGACTCCTTTCCGTCGCTCCATCATGCCGGGCAACACCGCTCTCGCAACCCCGGTCACACCGGCTACATTGAGTTGCAATATTTTCGCAAGCACTTCCTCTGACACGTTTGTAAATAGCTCGGGGTGATCGTAGCTCGCGCCAGCGTTATTAACGAGAACACCCACCTGGTGAAACATATCTTCTGTGATTATTCTCCTTCGCGTTATCTTTTTTTTTAAATATCTTTTTTTAAGAGACGAAACACTTTTCTTTGCTTTTTTACATTTAAAAGAAGTGAATTTCTTTTTTTATCTTTCTTTATCTGCCTATACTTTTCTCTGCTAAACATTCCTCGTAAAATATTTGTAAAATTATATTAGTTTCATTATATATATACCTCTAAATCCTGTGTCACTTTGGCAATCTCTGCATAGACCACCTGACCCTCCGTTAAATCGGCTTCTATTACGCGGGTCTCCACTCGGTATTCTCGCTCGATCTCAGCGGCTACATCCTTTAGCTTCGACATAGATCGCGATATCAGGACGATATCCAAACCCTTTTCGGCAAATGCCTTGGCGAACGCCTTTCCGAGTCCATCTGTTGCACCTGTAACCACAGCCCATCTTCCTTGCGTTCGTATGTCGATTCCAAGTCCGAGACTCGGGGCGACTAATTTCTTCCACACCAGAATCCCGATTTTTATAAAGATCCTCAAACTGACGACCGCTATTATGACCAGAAATATCTTCTCCCACCAGATTAACGCCATTCTATAATACATGCAACAATATTAATAGAGTTGATTTAATCAATTTTATTTATTTATTTTATTTAATCGAGCAAATTAATTAGCCGAATATAATAAAAAAATATAATATATAATCTCTAGTAATTAATTTATTTTATACACAATGGCTTGATCGAATTGAAATTTTCACGAACGTTAGATTAAAAGATTTGTATGAATTCAAATAATGAGCGACTATCACTATGATTGCCATATATCGACTAACAGAGCTTGCCAGTCATTGTCAGTTTATGGATATCGTGACCTCGGGTCATATTGTCAGCCGATACAATTCGTTATCCTATTGGTGCATACCACATTTCACTTTATCATTATTTCTTATATTTTTTCACAAATTTCTTATACTTTTTCACAAATTTTGTTGGTTTTACTTTCGACGTATCTAATCTATTTCGATAAATCTTCAACATGAATTCTTGCATAAGTCATTTTTGCAAATGTGTTTTCCATGCCATTTCCAAGATTGTTCAAACGATTAATTATTCATGAAATATTTATAATTGTTTAAATAATTAGTTACGAACTCTTCTTGTTAAATATTTCACTAACTTTAATTATATATTTTTGGAATATTTATAATAAAGATAAACGCGATTATACAATATTTTATAATTTATGAAAAAATATTATATACATATTTGTACTGGAAACTTATTGATTTTTTTGTACATTCAAGAATTTACATTGTCAAGCATTTATCGTTCCTCTTTATTACCAACTGGCTTTTATTATGCATTATTTTTAAAGCGAACACCTCTTATCACGAAAACGAAAATTCGATAGAGGGTGACTCATCATTCAGATACCATGATGAGCACAAAGACAATTGACTTTTATCATACAATGCAGTAATTATCATACAATATTACAATTTTATTCTGTTGACTTTGTTACAAAATCGAAACGAATTCTTTGTTGAAACTTTCTCATTAAAATACAACGCTGTTCTATATATAATCCTAGCAAATACGTTCAATAAATATTTCGAAAATTGCTCGCGTTCAGCGAAGAAAACGATGGAGAAGTCAATAGATACCACAATTGAATTTAATTTCTTTTTTTTTTTAATCATTGATTTAAAAAAAGCGTGCAATATAGCACAAAGAGATAATATTATTCTATATTAATAATGTCTTAAAAAGAGCTATCGCGCTTATAAATCTCTTCAGCTTTTTAAATTGAGAGTTATGTAAGAAATATATGTATACACAAACTATAATTTATTCTACGCAATAATCTAAATTTTGCAAATAAATGTTAATAAAATTATTACTATTAGATATGTTTTTAATTTAACTGTGATAAAAAATAAGAGATCAAATGCTTTCTGCGCGCGTGCCAATGTAATTAATCCAATGGACAATTGTTTAACGTTAAGATAAAAATTACATTGCGATGCAGCTTTCTCCGACAGTTTCATACTCCAATGCGCGGCGCGATAGCTCTCACGATACTTTCTCACTTTCTCACCTGTATCTTGTTGGCAATTGACTCTTTCAGTTCCGATCGTCCCGCCGATGTCCCATGAATGATAAACTTCCTTTATCGAAGAAATATCTATAGAGATCTCTTTCACCCTCGCTGATAATCAAAGTCAACAAACGATACCTCGCGCCAAGGGCAGAAGCGCGATTCGGAGAACCGCAAGGGCAAGGTCAAGAGAAGAGAAAGTACGACGAAAGCGCACGGGGAGACAAAGGTCGTGGTTGATCGGTTCATGCCCCGATGATCGTCGATGCGACACTGCTATGTCTTGGGAAAACAGGCGCGATCGATACCAGCCTCGCAAGCGGGATATCAACAGCGCGCGCCCGCGTGCGCAATGTCAGGGCTGTTTCACTTGCCCGTGTGATAGCATGTCCCCTCCAGAAGAGGAAACGGTATAGCAGGTACTCTTCGTCCACGTGGCTGAGCAAAAGATTCGCCGTGCGATAATGGAGCGGTGGGAGAGGCGAAATGAAAAGAGAGAAGATGATTCTTTCTTTGACACACTTCGGCCGCTCGTTGGTCCACATGTCTCTCTCGTCCTCCTTTGTAAATCTATACTATTTCTTTGATCACAGCGTTTTTGTATAACTGTAATATATATTCGTGAATTGAAACGCGCGTATATACCTTTATGTTTATATATAGATGGGAACGCGTGCTACTTACAGTGATAGTTCCCATGGTATTTTCGTATTATCCCTGTTAAATTCGCTCAAAATAGCACAACAATGCGCGCCATTTATAGTCCTGATTTTTATGAAAATGTAAAAATTTCTCCAATACCTAAGAAATTTATTATTAATACTTATATTAAATGTGTTAAATTATACATTTTTTTAATGGAATAATCGGTCAGTCAAAAAACTTGTGCCAATGTGTTTTATGTAGTATAGTAAATATATATTTTTATTAATTGTGGCAAAAGAGTTTTCAAATAATGCACATGTTCACAGTTTAGCTCAACATTGATTATCACTGTTTGATTTTTTAATTTGTTACCACATGACAAAAAAATAATTATTAAAATAAAATTAGAATTAAATTAAATTCTCATTCTCTCAGATCACACAATTAGATATTAAATTAAGATTTCAGATATCGGCAATTTCCGTATTTTGTTATATTATTTGTCTCTAAGAATAAAATTACTCATACATTTATCAACATTGTTTTAAATTTATTCAATTACAAACTGTACAAAAGATATATATATATA